CTGAGGTAGAACGTGTGTACAATGTCCTGCTCGGACAAATAAAAGAGTATTTTTAGATTTCAGTGTGTGTGTGTGTGTGAGAAGCCCTCTAGTGTTGGATCCTGACTTGTGTCCTCTGCCTCTCAGGCTCCACCCCTTCACGCACAGCTGGTTTCCTGGGCACCAGCAGCCCTGGACCAATGGCTGACTTGTATGCTGCAGCCAACCAGGACTCAGGAGTCGGCGGCTACATCAGCGCAGCTAGCCCCGCCCCCAGCTCAGGGTTTGGTCATGGTCTAGGGGTAAGTCATATGCCCCAACAACGAGGACGCACACACTTCACCTCATGCATGGGTGCACGTATTATTCTCAAGCCTAATAGAAAGTATATCCCCTCATGTATCCCCAGGGGCCCCTGATGGCTACTGCTTTTACTAATGGCTACCACTGAGACGACTCAGGACACTGAAGATGGGAGGGCCTCTCTTCTGCTGACGAGCCAATCAAAAATACTGGCTGCCCTCTGATGGCACAACCTGATTGGCCGGGGCCACAGGCTCCTCCCGGCTCTCCGGGCTCCCTGTGGCTCCACCCACCGACTGAATATCTTTTTAAAATCCTGAACTCTGTTTTGCTGTACTAATCTCACTTCAACATAACGTCCCCCATCTCTCCTCTTTTGTCCTCATGTAGTGTAATAACTAGACCCCCATCTTCCTCTGTTATCCATGATCTTTTTCTGAAGCTGAGACAACAAAACTGCAACAAAAAAAAGAAAAAAAAAATCTCTTGAGGAGACGTTTGTCATTTGACAGCTCGCAGAGGACTATTTTGATTTTTTTATTATTGTTTTATTTTAATGTGACACGTCGCTTCATCATGAAATCCTTCAACGCTGTTACTGATGTGAACCCGAGAGAGAAGAAGCTGTGTGAGATGGATCTTTGTCTGAAAACCATTTTTAAGAATAGAAGAACAAAATCCAACAAAGTCCTCTTTTTAACTCACGGAAACATGAAAAAAAACTAAAATGTATATTTTGGTAGTCTTTAAAAACAAAACCTTTGTAATATTGTTATTAATATTGACATAATAATGATGATCTGTAAGGTATTTTATTCTGTAATTGGTTTTAAAGCAATGTTTTTATGTCTTCCTGTAAGATATTGTACATAAATGTTGGGTTGGGGGGGAGGAGGGGTTACTGAACCGGCCCGCATGTCATTGGGTGGTTTGGAAAGGGTTAACAGCTATTTTATTGGCTGTCATCTACTACTATGTGTGGTCATCTCACTTCATTTATCAGTATGCATATAGCATATTTGTACATTGTCGGCCAGTCAGCTCCAGTGCACCGCTGTCGACTGCTGCGAAATATAACTTCCAGGAGTTTGTCTGGCACATTTGCTCGGTTAAATAACCGTTTTTTTCACAAACTCATCACTTTGTTTGCTCTACTTCCTAAAAAAGCTACTTTGACATTATCATTTTAACACCATGGATGAACTAGATTTCTCACATATTCATGAAAACAGGTTTAGAAGACGGACTACGGAAGAATCACAACCTTTAACAGGATAAATCAGGGGGTTCACGGGGTCGGGGGTTGATTTGACTTCCTCTTTTTTGAAAATATTATATATATATTTTTGCGCGATTCACTTCTTAATGTTTTTTTTTTTTATTTTTATTTTTATTTTTATTATTCTTTTATGCGGTGATCTCCACCGTGAAAACAAATGAAGGACATTCTCAGAGAAGCAATTGTAGAAAACATCACAATCATGTTCTGTCCTCTTATCGCTATTGAAGGTGCATGTGCGTCTGAGTGTGTGAGTGAGTGTTTGTGCGCATACATTAAGGTGTAATATGGAACTACTTATGGCAACGAAAGGAGCATTTGATTGCCATTTCTTTTGGTACTGAAAAAAAAAAAAAGATCACCCTGCTCCATTGCGGCTCATCTGCTCTTCTCTCCCGACTCTCTCCCATTTCATATTAAGGTTTGTTAAATGTGTGCTCCTCTGGAAGCGACATATTGTTGTTTATATACAGTTGCTGCTCTGTAGTGGTGAACAGAGGGGGTTTGGGCAGGGAACCAGAAATGGAACAGGGTCTCGCTCCCAGTCGGCTCTGACCTCAGAACAGACGACACTGGCTGGCAGGAAGATTCAAAAAGCTGGAACAAATTCAACCTTTTGCAAAAACAAGTGGGCTGTTTGTTCAGCCTGCTTGCTGCAGCCTGTTTGATGTTCAGCACAGCAGAAAACGTCCTGATCCAGCCAGAAGTTCCTCTGTCAGACCGCCTTGGACACGACATAAAACTACTGCTGGACACCAACACTGTAACTTTTTAACTTACAATAAAGCAATAAGTTATTTTTTACCTTACAAATGAAAATAGTACTATTATTGGTAATGGCAGACATGTGGATAATTCTGCGGCATTAAGACTTATTTTCAGAAAAGAAAAAAAAAGAAACTATATTTTTCTGTTTTGAGATCTTGTTCCCCTTGTATATTGATTTTAATGATGTCTTTTGTTGTGTTGATGTAAAGAAAAGGGCCACTGCTTTGAATGGAGCTTGGGTCTCGTCGTGAGCTCAGTTCAAGTTTAAGATACGGGCTGTCCCCCGCCGAGCTTTACAACAATGCTTTTTTTTCCTTGTTTTATTTTTCTGATAATTTCAATTTTAAAATCCTAATAAATTATTCTAAAGCGTTCGATTGTCATTGTCCTTTTATTATTATTGAACGGTTATACATGCAGGTACAATAATATCTTACGATGTGCAATCTTGATAAAGTGGTTTTACACTAAATAAAACTTAATGCTGTGGGTTTTAACATTTCTAAATTTGAAGTGGAGGTATTTAAAAAAAAAAAACACATCCCTCCCAAAGCAGATTTGTCCTGGGGATACAGACCAAAAGTTGCCCGTTGTGGTGATTTTTCTGTAAGGTTGTGCAATAACGGTTAAACTAAAATGAACTAGGACACACCTGGTGTATAAAGTTGAGTATGTGTGCACTGTCTGTGTGATTAGGGGTTGCGTTATGCTACAGTAGAGTTCATGTTTGAATAGTCTGGAGGGTGAACATGATGTATTTACAAACAGCTGTGTCAACAAACCAACATATAAGGAATAGAACTTCTGCTACTTTCATTACCTGGATGCTACCAGCGTCCCTGAAATCGCAGAAGTAGAGCTCCTTGCAACTATAGTTAACTTTATTAGAGCAAGATAATTATTCACTGAATTAGAATGAACAAATCCGTCACTGGAGGCTGGTACTCTTCACAGGTGAGAGCAGGTTTACTGCTTCATATATTGATACAGTTTGGGTGGTCATTAGGGATGGGAACGATTAATCGAATATTTGAATATTCGAAATTATTCAGGTATTCGAATAATTATTCATGTATTCGAATATGAGTTATGAATATTTGTATTAATTTTTTTATTTTTTTTTTGGGAGGGATGCCTATGTTGATTACATATTATCAAATGGAATAATTCAATGTATACGACAGTGGCATAGCTAAATGTGCTAGGTCTAAAGGTGTGTTTTGCTCCGCTCACCGGTCCCTCACAGCGGGCAGAGCTGCAGGTGCTGATCCCTCTCTCGCGCGTCCGGTTATACTTCACTCGCGTTTATGTCCAAATCCATCAGAAAACCAAGTTATGTTTTAAGCATGAAAGCTCTAGGTCTATAGCTGTCAACTGTTCAAACTGTGATAACCAGTTCAATACATTTGACAAATTCGACTTGGTTTCTATACTTATTTGAACATGTATTTATTAATTTTCAAAATATATATATATTTTTTGTGTAGGATATGTACATTTCGGTTAATCGGTTAACCGTTTTTTTGGGGGGTCGAATATTCGAATATACATTTGCTTTCAAATTCCCATCCCTAGTGGTCATACAGAGCTATAATCAGAGGTGTAACGGCTGTAAGAGGCCGCAATACAATCCTGGATCCTATTGTCAGACCATTTGCAGGCCTGATCAATACAGCCTAATGTAAGATAATGACAGTCCCCTCACAGCTCGCTGTCCATGACCTTCCTTGAGGTCGAATGTATGTCTGTAATAGACTATCTGACCAGGTCTCCTGATCTAAAGCCAATCAAGCATGCCTGAAGATGCTATGATGAGGCTTATCAGAGGCAGAGGACATTTTTCATTTTCATTCTTTCAGCCTAAAGAATGTTCATAGTAAATGGGCTGCATTTATATAGCACTTTACCTAGTGCCATTCACACATTCATGCAGAGGCAGAGGATGTTTAATTAATTTCTTATTTCAAAATAATTGTATCACTTTTATTTATATCTTTGATTTTATCTTTAATTTTATGAACCTGTGTGAATCTGTGCTGTCCTGTTTTTCATCCTTACCCTGTTGCTGTTAAACCACTGAATTTCCCCACGGGGATTAATAAAGGTCCATCTTATCTTATCTTATGTCTAACAAGATGCCACCTGCTCAATGGAGACTTATATTCACACACTGTTGGCCATGCCATCGTGTCAATTCCTGTCTGTCTTTTCCTAGTTTCCGTCTGTCTCCTAAGAGAAGAGCAGAAACGAATCTGTGTTGTGATCAGAAAGATCTCAGTAAACAAGTTAAAACCATATAGGTTCCTTTTCTAACTCTGTCACCCAGGTCTGTACGCAAGCTCAAGCAGATAAATGCGAGTTAAATGGAAAATGAGTAAATAGTTACATTGACGAAACATTCATGATGTAAATCAAATGTAACTGTGTCATTTCCAGAGAAACAAACAAAGGGCTACATGCTACAGCTACATTTCTGAGCCTTGTATACTGTAAATCTTGTACTGTGTAAAGAAGATTGATAGATAACACTGAACTATTGACATTCCCATGTATCAGCATGTTGTGTGTTTCTGTGAGGTGCCAGCAGCGGTAAACAGAGTCCGATACATCACACTTCTCTCAGCAAAGTGTCCTGGATGGAGGCCAGCAGGGTGAGCGATCCTCTCCTACCCGCTCCCCAAACACAAACTTCATTTTTCCCAGCTTCAAAGGAGGACTACAACCACCTCGCAATGTGTCAGACAGATCCATCAGCCTTTTGAACTTCTGGCTTCCAACATTTTCTGATAAAGAAAGAGTTGGATTCTGTCTGTTCTGTAACTTTTTGGGTGGGTTTCACCCCCTGACTGTGTTTCATTTCTCTGAGTTACAATGGCTCTTGGAGTGCTACATTCGCAAGTAAAAGATTCCCTTAGTGGAAGTGTATTTTTGGACAGGGGCTCTATTGAGGAACCTCCACCTCCACCTCCACTCCGCAGCTACCTTTGTTTGAGTATTTTCACCTGCTTTTGTCCTGCGTACCCTGTCAACATCGTGGCCCTGGTCTTCTCTATCATGGTGAGCAGAGCATTTCTTGAATATACATCATCTTACAGTACGACTGCTCTGTATGATATAGGAACAACTGTATCAGAGAGAAGAGAAATAGATATAGAAATGTGTTTCCCTTAAACCTCTTAAGCCCCAAGCCTGTTTTTCAGGTTTCAGGCTCGAAAATGACATTCCCAGAACATATCTTCCCTTCTAAAAGGGTTAAATTAATAATATTTTTTCTCAAAGTAATGATAAACCTGTGAGTTGGATGTAGAAAAGTCAGAATCAATATAGATGTTTTTTATTTTAAAGAAAATTCAGATTGAACATAAATTATAGTGTCCTTCCAAAAAATAAACTCTTCTGGGGCCATTTGGGTGAATTTTCCTTATCTCTGGCCCCCCTTGTTCGATTTTGACATGTGACATCTCTTTCTGACCGTTAGAGCCAATAGAATCGAAGGAAAATCGTCCCGCACACACTCAAAAAAAGGTTACGTCTTTGCGCATTCAATGAAGCTACAGAGCGTAGGAGTGGCCTGCTCTACTATTTTAAAACGGAATTGCAGTTTTATTGCTTATAGATTATCAGAACATTTCAAAGGGGACACAGTCACATTGCAAATTAACCTATGGATTAACTACATCATCGTTGTTATCGTTTTAATGCCATTGAAGACCAGTTTAGACCAGACAAAGACGAAGGTAAGCCATGTTAGCATTGTGTAGCTACCTAGCGCAACTTGTTTTGATGCACGTTTTTGTTGATAACGTGGCGAGTTTGTATCTTTCAGTGTTGAGGTGGGCACCGTTAGATTCTGTGTCTTTACGATCATAAACGATGTGTTGGATGTGCAGCTAGGATAAGTAATAAGGGAGCTAGGAGTGATTTTCGGTGCAGTAATAGGTTAGCATTTTTCGCTCGGGGCTAATTCAGAGGCTCACTGTTAGCATTGTGTGTTTTTTTAGATAAAAAAAAAAAAAGGTCAGTTAAATTAGTTTTTTCCCGTTATATGGATATAAAATATTCATAGTTTATTAAATGTAAGGTTCCTTAGACGTTGTTTCCTGCAAATGACGCGATTTTGCTTAAGAGGTTTTAAGGATTTGTAATGTGGTGTTTCAATTGGTCAGTGTTCGGACATGTTTTGCTGTGTGTGAAGGTGTAAGACACTATAATACGAGGCAGTTACAAACACCTGTTGTGTCCATCCATTTTATAAATCCTCTCATTTCGAAAATTCAAAACAAATGTTAACGCTTCATTATGTTGCCAGATCTGTCTGCAGGCCTTTTGGATTTTTAAATAAACATAGCCAAGAAACCATGTTACCAGCTTCCACCATGTTTGTAAGCTTCAGATGAGATAATAACGTTTCCAAAATGTGGTTAGTTTGAACAAATTATTAGCAGATCTTGAAGTAGAGACATGGCCTTTGACCCCTGACCCATCACAGTCCACCTGCTTCCACTCCTACTGCTATTTATTACATTTTTTACTTTATTATTTGCCCCTTTTGTTTGTTTGTTTGTTCACTATGTAAAGAGGACTTGGGTCCCTTGAAAGGCGCTATACAAATGTCATCTATTATTATTATTATTAAAGACATGAATTGGCTTCCTCATTAGGCAGGGCTGATCAAATACTTAGCTGTCTAGTTGGCGTTGCAGTTTTTAAAGTCAAATCTTTCACTGTATTGACACGTTTGATGTGTGACAGTGATTACTTATACTCAGTCTAGGAACAACTATTATCTTGGAGACTACGACGGGTCGAAGCGGCTCGGCAGGAACGCTCTCTACGTCTCTGTGGCCTCCATCATCATCGGCCTCCTCATCATCGCCATCTCCTGCACTGTTCATTTTACAGCTGTAAGACCCTCCTAAGGTTGAGCAGTAGACACTATATTCTGTGACCATCACCATGCTGTTATTTAATCTATAAAACGACTTTACATATTCCCATACATCTACACCCAAGTCAATTTGAAACCGATGAAGGCCTATATTTATTTTCAGAAAAAGACCATTATAAAAAGTGGAGGTGTTTCGTGTTTCGGTCCTCTTGTATGATCAATTAATCCAGAATAAAATATAGAATAAAAGTACATTAGAAAGTTTTCCGTAATCTACCTTTGTGGTGCAAATGTATTTTGACCCAGAAATATAATATAAATAAATGATTAAAAATGAACTAATTTAATTTCTTCATGGTTCGTTTCCACAATATTTATTAGACGTAATTTATTTAATCATTTTTAATTATAGACCATTTAATTTCTAAACGCCCTTTCTCTGTTTTGTCTTCACACTGACATGTATTCTTTTAGTGGACCTACCCACTCACTCTCCTCTGGCAGAAGGCTATTTATTTTTGACAAGAACCTCAAGCCACACAATCTTCCATCTGCAGCATCTGGCACACCAACAACCCCCTCATATTATCTTTAACTATTGTCTTTGAACATATTCTTTAATTCGAATACTGTGAAACTTTGCACATCCCTTAGAATATTTATGTTGCATATTCCTGCGTAACTCTATTATTTTTAAACAGTTACAATGTAGAAAATGTAATTAGAATTTGTTCTATTCTATATTAATGTAGCTGGTCGGTGCTGAATACACCAAATAAATCCTTTGAAAAAGGGTCTACTTGACAATAAATCAGATTATATGTCATAATAATGAACATTGATACATTCTACAATTTCTTTCACATCAAATTCTATTATATAAAAAGACAAAATATCGAATTTATTCTTTGTAAATAAGAGAAGATTTGACGATATGACTGGAAGATTTTCATAAATGTTTAAGTATTACAAATATTTTCTGTAATTTGTTGTTTAATGTTATTGTCTTTGTGTTCCAGATGGAGTTTTAGTGTTGCAGGAGAGGAGAGAGGAGCAGGAGAGAATAAGACACAAACTGTGGATGCTGACGTCTGGGCTCAGGTGGTTCACACTGTACCATCTGCCTCTGGAAGGACTACGGCTCGTTACTTCAATCTGTACATCACTCCCTCGCTGCTTCACTGTTTTTCATATGGAACATCCAGGGCTAACATCTGGTGAATGTGTTCATTGTAGTGTTTAATGTCAATGATGCAAAAGGGCAGCTTTCTGTGAGACTATATGTACTTTGAACTAGAATGATTAAACTGAACCGTCTTGAATTTGTGCTGCAACATATATTTATCATTATCATTTGATGTGTTTGTCATCGGTTACATTATTAAAGTAACTTTGGTACGTAAAGTATTTCTCATGTGTTATTATAGAGAATTGACAAAAAGGCTCCGAGCTGTTGAGTGTCTTAAATGCAACGGTGGTCGTAAGGTCTAGGCAACAAAACAACGCTATGAAGGTATGAAAGAAGATCATGGTTTGGATAAAAACAACTTTTTAAATGATGAATGATGTGACAAACAATTCAAGATATCACTAGGCAAAAAACATTGGAATTAGCTGAGAGCCCGGTGCTCCCCAACATCCATGCTGAAAGGGTTTGTATTTGACGCCCTGTGGGTCAGATCGGGTCGTAATGACAGGATTACGCTATTCCTGCTGTCCTGGGACTTGAATACTGCCATCCTGTTTCCTGTGTTAATTGACGTATCATGGCAACGGTCCAGACTGCCAAATTGGGTATCAAAGCGGTCATATAAAAGCAATCACAAACCAAACGATCATATTTCATCTTTGAAAATGTCTACACCTGTTGCTTATTAGACCTCACACCACCACCCATCTTTTACACCTTTGAAAGATAGATAACTGACTCGTGTGGTTTTGCCTCCACCAAGGAGTCGAGTTGCAGTTTACATCCCTGTCAGTCCTAAATTACCTGCTTTTAAATGATGTCTCTTTTTTTGTCAGCCCGTCATATTGTCATATTCTGCTGTTTTTACTTGTTATGTTTTTTTAAATGCATTGTAAGGTGTGTTTAGGTGTCTTGAAAGGCGCCTCCATATAAAATAAATTATTATTGTCATTAAATAAAATAAATGAATCTTTTTATCCAATTGGACATTTAGTGTGAAATTAGCATATTACTATTTAAAAGTATTTAAAATAAACAAAAATAAATAATAGGTGAATAAAGGTAACGCATTCATGAGAAGAGGATGGACAACCTGTCGCTGTGGCCGACTTTGATTCATAATTAGGATTTTAACATTTTCTATTTTACAAATGATGTACAATGACATTAGAGAACCAGGCCCATTTGATATATGTTGTGTTGTGTTCGAAAGCTGTTACCATTCATGGTGTTCACGGGTCCATTTTGATTTATCTCAGTCCAAAACACTCAAAAATAATGACTATCATCCAAAATTGTTTTAACTACATCATAACTAACTTATTATGCATTCATAACCGTAGAATCCTGTTGTAATGGGAGGCGTGTGGCGCAGTGGATAGAGCCTTGGTCTGGGGATCAGATGGTCACAGGTTCAAACTGCACTGCAGTCAGCATGTCGTTGTGTCCCTGGGCAAGACACTTCACCCCAAATTGCTCCTGTCGGCCCACAGTATTGAGTATGTGATGTAATCTTATGGCCCCAAAACACATTACTAACCCTAACCCTAACTCTAAATTGAAACGGGAGACCCGAACACAACATAAGGGTTAACCCAAGTTAACTAAGACACCTCCTTTGAAACCATGAAGTACAACTGCCCTTGCTGAGAAATCTTCTTGTAGTTTGATATGTCATAGTATATCTCAAACTAAATATAGCAGATGTGTTGCAGGTTGCCCAGAACTTCACATGGTCAGGCACAACTGATCCTGTTGGGAGGTAACTGAAACATGAAAAGTGTCATAAAAAAAGGGAGCAAATAGAGTGATGATTCAGACGGGTTCAAGCAGGAGAGCCCTGATCATGGGTGTCCAATTCAATCTCACCTCTTTTTTTCTTTGCGGTTATTGAAAAACAACACTTTCAGCTCTCTATGGAGTAACTATGACCTTCATGGAAAGACAAATGAACACCTACATGAACAAAACAAAGTAAAATGTTCGGTTGGCTTTATCTTTTTTTGATATTTATGTACCTTTTCTTTCAAAGCAATCTTCTGTGCGCAGGTGTAATTCAAAGCAGAGCCTCTGATCTTATAAGCCTGGTTGCTGTCAAGTTTCCACAGTTAGTCTAATGCACTTGGACAAATGGGTTTTGGCAGTAATCTTGTACTATTATCTGCCCTTACTTGAAAGAGGAATGCAGTGTGTTTGTAGTGCTACCTCTTTGATGTCACACCAAAGCAAAACGCGGTTTAACAAGATGGAAATGAAATGAGTGCGCAGGGATTAGGCGACTTGAAAGCATTTAGTGAATTTATCAAGGGATCAAGGTAGACTTTGTGACAGGAAGCTGATTACCTTGAGATATAATAAAGCTCCTTTGTATCCAACAATTCACACAAACACAATAAAGTTTTAAATTCAAGAGCTTCTGAGTTCCAGCTTTGGAAATCAGCTGCTTTAATCCTTCTGTTCCAGAATAATAAACAATATTTTTTCCATCGCACATTCACAGCATCAACTCACCTGAAGCTGTGCTGTTGTGTTGCTATAGCCAATACATTTGAAGAGCACTCAGTGACTCACATGCAGTGATCATAAATAGGCCTCTCAGAGCAGCTGCTACCATTAGCACAGGATAGAGCCTCCATGCAGATCCCATGACACATTCCTCCCAGGGAGCAGCAGTTTGATCTGCTTTGAATACATGAAAGAGGATAACTGTGGGAATATTGCAGAGCAGGTTGGGGAACACGAGCATGCATTCAGGTATAGAGAGCTACAGAACTACGTTTATTTGAAAGAAAAAAAAGGGATTGTCTCAATTCTATTAAAGGGGACCTATCATGCAAAATGCACTTTTTGATGTCTTTTATACATAAGGTGTGCCGGGGAACTCACGCAGCGTCAGAAAATAAAACCCTCTCTCTTTTACTCCGTACCCGAATCTCTAAAAACGAGGCTACAACGGAGCTGATCCAGATTTGCGTCCAATATGACGTAATATCGGAAATGTAGGCTGGCTTTACACCCACGGCCCTATCAGAAACTTTGTTATCAGAAACAATGCCCGACTGTTTTGGACGTAATATGGTCGGTGTTCACATTAGCATCGCTAACACTCAGAGCTAACCTGTACTGGAGAGCATGTGTGTGAAGAAGCAGGAAATAAAAAGGAACTCACCTTGTGGTATAACCGGCAAGAGAGAAAGCCTTTGAGCTCCATACTGTTTCAGAAATAATCCTTGATAATCCATGATATGGCGTTTCATCACCGCAGAATCTGCCGGTAGCATCTCCCGCATGAGCTAAGCCCCCTCCACCTTTTTTTAATCAATTTTTTTTTTTTTTTTTAAAGCTTTACACCCCAAATCAGCACTTTTGAAACAGGAAGTGAAATAGAGGGATACTGTATGAGGCATGGCTAGAATGGGTGATCTGTTTGGTATTTTGAGCAAAACACTTCATAGACATGTTTTTTATATATTTGTATATATCTTAGACCTATGCTATTGCCTAAAAATAGCATGATAGGTGACCTTTAAAGATTTTTTGGTCACTTAAGGGGAAACCCCAAAAGGATAACTGCTTTGCCCGGATTAATCTATGCTAAGATGCTACAAGAATTCAAGTGTCCAATAAAAAGACTGATACTTAGAGGCTATGAAATTAACGGTACAGACATAATATTTACATAACATTTACATAATATTACTAGAATTGCTATAAGAAATCTGTTAGCAAAGTGTTAGCCATTTACATATCCAGCGAGTCGTGCTTGTGTCCACCTGACAAATGTTTTTCCAACATTCACTCTTCCTAAGAAAGACAAGGTAAACTTAACTATGTGCATAAAAAAAGAAAAGAGGAATAGTTTTGGCGAAAACTAAAAAGGTACCATGGGGTCAGATTATAATTTTCCAAAGGGGGGTTCGTTTAGCATGAAACACTTGAAATAACTAAAGGACAAGTTAAAAAAGAAAGCAGAAAGAAAGGGAGGCTATAGAAAACTATTTCTGCGTTAGCAAAGATTGAGTCAGAGCTAAACATTTCAGATGTGTGTATCTCACACTGCACTGTAACTTTTATTCATGTATCTTTGCTTTTAAATGAGTGTTTTTAAATGTCATTTCATAATATGTTTCTTAATGCTCTAAATGTCTTTCATTTTTGTAAAGCACTTTGAATTGTGTTGTGTTGAAATGTGCTATATAAATAAACTTGTCTTGCCTTCCTATAACTCTGTCTTTGGTCTCCACCATCTCCTCAATTAAACATCTGGCTCCTTAGCTGCTAAATGCCAACAAATCAAACACCACACCAACAGTTTGAAACATTGCTGATGGACACGTTGCCCAGATAGTCCAGAGCCATGTCTATGTTCACTATTTTCTCATGTGTTTGATGCTGGGCAGTGTACAGGGTGTCTTTCTAGCCTTTTCACAGCCTTCACCTAAAAACAGCCCTGATGAGATTACAAAGAGTAAACCAAATCAATACAGTAGTGTGCCTGAAGACAAAAAGCCTAAAGAACATAAACGGCGCTGTAAAGCTGAGAGGTACTGCAGAATTGGATAACAATATACTGTTGATGAATCCATCCTTTTCACTTACACTTTTTTATGTCATTCATTGTTAATTCAAACATATTGATTATAGCAGCTTTAAACCAATAAAAAACACTACGGTTTCAAAGTGTTGTGTTGACAACAGTGGCTAGAGAAACTTGTTCTCCAGGCCGTCAAAAACCACATCCCAGTCAGCCTAGGCCCCAAACCAGTTTGCCATTATCGACCTGATTACAAACAATGAGCTTACTTCACATAGGGAGGAAATTAACAATCTTGCAGTGGTGATCAAATAAACAAGCTACTGCTTATTGTATAATACAATACATAAAACTTGATTTCCTCAGAATCAGCATTACAATCCAGGACATGATCCTCCCACATCTCCACCTTCTATGGTGAACTATTTATTTGAAAAGGCAACAATCCACTATACTGTATACAAGTTACACACTTTTACAGAGGAGCAATGTAACTCATTCTGATTGAACATTACAAACTAGCATGGGACGTGCACAGCGCAGGACGGGAGAGCTCTGCAGCGAGTGATTAAAACTGCACCGAACATCATTGGAATATCTACATCGAATCAGCGACTTTCAGGAGAAGAGGTGCCTGCTGAGAGACCACAAGATATTAAAAGATAAACCAAACACGGCCACCGCCTGTTTACCTAGCTACCGTCTAGCTAGAGATACAGAAAAAACCATTGCTGTAGCACCACACTACAGAGCAGCTTCTTTCCTTAGGATGACTTTACTTCCTCTTTCATTCCACACTATAAAAAATCAGTTTTGCTTTTGAGTTCTTCTTAAGAGGCGTACCTGTTTAAATGGTGCATTTCACAGCATTCAGGGCCAATGAAAACAAAACTAGTCTCTTACAGCCAGAGAAAAACAAACATTAGATACAGTGCCAAACAAACTGGGCTTTACCAAAATAGCAGCTTTATTGAAGGAAATGGCCATTTCTGCGCAGCGTAATTGTGACAAAGGTAACTTCGTCACTGTGGACTGACGGCTTCGAGCCTTGTAACTCAACACTTTAGTGAACAGTTTGCACTTTATTAGCGTGATTGCACAGTACCGTTTGGCATGGCATATTTGCACATTTTATATAATTTATACTAATTATTGAGATAGTATTTATTAAAGGATTAAACCGTATTAATTGAAATGTCGTCTGGCAGGTGCTTGTCGGGTCCTCGGCTCCGCCTGACAAGATAGGGGAGTTAGCGAGAGCGCCGAAAGTGCTTATGCTGGTGTAGAATGATACGGGTGCAAATAATATGTGAGGGTGTAGAAATCATAGCGTTAAGTGGCATTAATTGTACAA